ACACCTGAACATCAGCAGGAGAGGACTCTTTAAAGTAGAGACACCACATACTGATATACACCTGAACATCAGCAGGAGAGGACTCTTTAAAGTAGAGACACTACATACTGATATACACCTGAACATCAGCAGGAGAGGACTCTTTAAAGTAGAGACACTACATACTGATATACACCTGAACATCAGCAGGAGAGGACTCTTTAAAGTAGAGACACTACATACTGATATACACCTGAACATCAGCAGGAGAGGACTCTTTAAAGTAGAGACACTACATACTGATATACACCTGAACATCAGCAGGAGAGGACTCTTTAAAGTAGAGACACTACATACTGATATACACCTGAACATCAGCAGGAGAGGACTCTTTAAAGTAGAGACACTACATACTGATATACACCTGAACATCAGCAGGATAGGACTCTTTAAAGTAGAGACACTACATACTGATATACACCTGAACATCAGCAGGAGAGGACTCTTTAAAGTAGAGACACTACATACTGATATACACCTGAACATCAGCAGGATAGAGCCCCTTTAATTGGTTACCATAATCAATATGGATGTGTCTTTGTTTGTTTAGACAAATGTGGATTATTGACGTCAACAACACTAATCCAATGACTCACTCACGGTCATTGTGTTCATTCCCAATTTCTGAACAATAACTTGAGTGCGTGTTCACTGCAGCATAAACAGAGCTGTTGTTTTCTACAGTCAGTTTTGCAAAACCATGCAGCAGAACTGAATGAATCTCAATGCTTGGGGTATTTTTCACCGTGCCATACTCGCTTTCTGTCACCATCTCCTCTCCTTCTCTCTTTCACTTTGTTTCTTCGCCTCGCTCCTTTTCCTTGTATCTAAATTCGCTCGCGGTTCATGCTCTTTCTGACTGAAACCTTTACAATTTCTTCTGCTTCATCGTGTTTGTCTGCCTGTCACGTATCCGATGTCGTACTGTAAAAACAGGATCATCTCCTCTGCTGTTGTAGCATGCGGGAGTTAAGTTAAACACACACTAACACACACAAACACATACTAACACACACACACACACATACTAACACACACACACGGCTCATTGGCGTTGCAGTTGAAGCTGTTTTGACTTCTGTCTCGTTCAGTCTGTTTACAACCAGATCATTTGCATCCGTTGAAGGAAAATCTGATTTCCTTTCTTTCTATTTAAAGTCAGAGTAACATGCAGCTGAAAATAATTCCACAGCAGGTTCAGGTTCGGTGACAGCGGTGTGTTTCAGATAACATACCATCAACACATTTAGTCGCGGCAGGTGCATCATTTTTAACCCTATGAACGGATTATTTAAAGCTCCATTTCTGCCTACACATGAGGGGGAAGCAGGTCTGAACACAGTGATGAGTTCAGAAGCTATCAACATGTCTGAAAATACTACAAGAGAGCGCTCAGAGAGGTAAACAAGTATATTTTATATGCCTGCTAGCGCTGCAGAATCCCTTTAGGAACGTTATTCCAATAATAATGTATGGAGGATTTTATGTTATTCTGTATTGAAATAAATACATTTAGAGATAATGCATGTGCAGAAGGGTTTAGGTCACGAGTTTACAGTTTAGAAACATCTTTATAAGGTAAACCTTTCAGCTAATTTTACGTAGAAAATTAAAGTTGCATTTCAGACATCTCCAAAATATCCTAGCAATTAAGATAAGGACAATCTTTGAATTCCCAAAGATGATTAAACATGCATCTAACATTTAAACAGGACATAATAGGCTCATGTTCAGGTGTATATCAGTATGAAGTGTCTCTACTTTAAAGAGTCCTCGTCTGCTGATGTTCAGGTCTATATCAGTATGTAGTGTCTCTACTTTAAAGAGTCCTCGTCTGCTGATGTTCAGGTCTATATCAGTATGTAGTGTCTCTACTTTAAAGAGTCCTCGTCTGCTGATGTTCAGGTGTATATCAGTATGTAGTGTCTCTACTTTAAAGAGTCCTCTCCTGCTGATGTTCAGGTGTATATCAGTATGTAGTATTTCTACTTTAAAGAGTCCTCTCCTGCTGATGTTCAGGTGTATATCAGTATGTAGTGTCTCTACTTTAAAGAGTCCTCTCCTCTGATGTTCAGGTGTATATCAGTATGTAGTGTCTCTACTTTAAAGAGTCCTCTCCTGCTGATGTTCAGGTGTATATCAGTATGTAGTGTCTCTACTTTAAAGAGTCCTCTCCTGCTGATGTTCAGGTGTATATCAGTATGTAGTGTCTCTACTTTAAAGAGTCCTCTCCTGCTGATGTTCAGGTGTATATCAGTATGTAGTGTCTCTACTTTAAAGAGTCCTCTCCTGCTGATGTTCAGGTGTATATCAGTATGTAGTGTCTCTACTTTAAAGAGTCCTCTCCTGCTGATGTTCAGGTGTATATCAGTATGTAGTGTCTCTACTTTAAAGAGTCCTCTCCTGCTGATGTTCAGGTGTATATCAGTGTGTAGTGTCTCTACTTTAAAGAGTTCTCTCCTGCTGATGTTCAGGTGTATATCAGTATGTAGTGTCTCTACTTTAAAGAGTCCTCTCCTGCTGATTTTCAGGTGTATATCAGTATGTAGTGTTTCTACTTTAAAGAGTTCTCTCCTGCTGATGTTCAGGTGTATATCAGTATGTAGTGTCTCTACTTTAAAGAGTTCTCTCCTGCTGATGTTCAGGTGTATATCAGTATGCAGTGTCTCTACTTTAAAGAGTCCTCTCCTCTGATGTTCAGGTGTATATCAGTATGTAGTGTCTCTACTTTAAAGAGTCCTCTCCTGCTGATGTTCAGGTGTATATCAGTATGTAGTGTCTCTACTTTAAAGAGTCCTCTCCTGCTGATGTTCAGGTGTATATCAGTATGTAGTGTCTCTACTTTAAAGAGTCCTCTCCTGCTGATGTTCAGGTGTATATCAGTATGTAGTGTCTCTACTTTAAAGAGTCCTCTCCTGCTGATGTTCAGGTGTATATCAGTATGTAGTGTCTCTACTTTAAAGAGTCCTCTCCTGCTGATGTTCAGGTGTATATCAGTATGTAGTGTCTCTACTTTAAAGAGTCCTCTGCTGCTGATGTTCAGGTGTATATCAGTATGTAGTGTCTCTACTTTAAAGAGTCCTCTCCTGCTGATGTTCAGGTGTATATCAGTATGTAGTGTCTCTACTTTAAAGAGTCCTCTCCTGCTGATGTTCAGGTGTATATCAGTATGTAGTGTCTCTACTTTAAAGAGTCCTCTCCTGCTGATGTTCAGGTGTATATCAGTATGTAGTGTCTCTACTTTAAAGAGTCCTCTCCTGCTGATGTTCAGGTGTATATCAGTATGTAGTGTCTCTACTTTAAAGAGTCCTCTCCTGCTGATGTTCAGGTGTATATCAGTATGTAGTGTCTCTACTTTAAAGAGTCCCCTCCTCCTACATTGTCATGATGTGAAATGTTATTGTTTCTCATTGTCCTTTATTTATTTCCCCAAATCATTGTTAGCTTATAAATTAAACTAATCAAGTTGTTGTCTATAATATGTTGTGTATAATCTACAATTTAAAAAACAATTAAGTAATGAATGTTAAAAGCTTAACAATTAACAAAGCAGCATTGAAACACTTGACAGTAATATAATTTAGCTAAAATTAAGTATTTAATTAACATACGTCAAGCCTACAGTGAGTATGTTTATTTACCAGCTGTCACGTTATTATGACTTTGTGACGGTGGCACGCTGCCAGTTCTCAACACAAAGAGACACATGCCACTGATGTCGCCTTAAACTGACAGCTAGTGCTTCTTAATGAGCAAAATCCCAAATGTAGCAGCAGCAATGTCAACAGTACAGACTGAGAAACATAATGCTTCTTACGGCTGACGCCACAAGTTATTATAAGTTAAAAGTGCATTTAATGCTCTTGGTTATTATAACTCGATGGAGGCTTGAAAGCAAACCTGCTGCATAATATGGTCTAAACAGGAAGAGAGTGAGGGCCACATGTGGAATCATTTTTTAGATCTGACCGAAAGTGATATTTTTTTCTTATTCCTGAGATTATAGTCAGATTATTTCTCCAAAAATGGGAATTTTTCCCCAAAAATCTGACTTTCTAAAACTCAGATTGTTCATACGATTTGGAAAAAAACAGAACAGAAAAAAATGTTTTTTTTGGTTCAGAATATTTTCTCTAAAACTTGGATTTTTTACAAACTGAAACTGAAACTCTGCCGCACGGTCCCCTCGTTCCTTGGAAGAGGCGGAGAGGTGGGTGTTTGTCATCTGCTGGTGGACTAACCGGAGAGAATTACAGTGCTTGCCTCGACGGGGAGGGATTGCATTGAATTAAAGCAGCGGGAGCAAACGCTTGCCTCGGGGAGGGAGAAAAAAGGCCACAGCGGAGAATAAACAGAAGGGTAACCATGGTAACTATGGGCGGGAAGTCTTCTTCGCTGCTTTTGTGGCAGACTACAGCGCCACTTACAGGCCTGGCATATGTACTACAGCGTCTCCAGCGCTTTCGAGCGGCAATGGCCGGCCGTGGCCCAACCCCACATTCCCCTGATAGGTGGAGAGTTGGCCCAATAGCCGTAGCGCCACCGTCCTGACGTCAGGACAGTGTTCAAATCTGGATCAGTTTTTATCAGATCCGTTGCAGCCCCTTTTTTAGAGATTTGGGTATGGAGGAAAATAGAGAGGGTTGTGTTTTCTGACACTTGGTGAGTTCCCTGGAACACCGGGGACACATATTCATGTATAAAAGACGTACAAAAGTGCATTTTGCATGATAGGTCCCCTTTAAATAAAATTTCATTTCTGAAGTTCTAAAAAAAATTCCTGAAACTTACTTTTTTCTGAAATTCTGAGTTTTTCTGAAATTGTGATCTTAAAAAAGAAAATCTGACTTTCCCCCCCAAAAGTATGACGAGGCATCAACTGGCTAAAGCAGCGTTGGAAAACCATCTGATTTGAAGCCATTTTCACCTACTTGTTAATAAAGGCTGCTCAATGTTCCTACCTGGTGGCAGATCTCGTGGACGACCACCATGGTGAGCTCCATCTGATAGGACGAGGACGACACCTCGGCGTCCAATAGGATCTTCTGCTCCACAAAGACGCTCAGACCCCAGTTCTCCATGGCGGCGTACGGATGTTTGGGCACTGCCAACAAATCTGGAAAACAAAAAGCACACACACATCAGGACTTGTAGCTATTATGGCTTCACAACACAGGCTCCATGTGTTCCTCCATTAATAAAGCCCCCCAGTCAGAGCCAGCATTTGAATAAAAACCCGACAGAATGACTGCCGGTATGAGAGCGGATCCCATTTTAGGTTCAAATTAAACTCATGAGTCATTTTAACAACCTGCCAAAGAATCCTTTCATGCCCACAACATGGATATATGGAGTCCTCAGATGTAACGCCACAAATATCCGAATGGGAAAGAAGCAGAAAGAAAGAGATTTCAGATAGACTGAGGACACAGGAGGAGAGAAGAAACAGGGGCTTCCTTTAAGCAAAGAACCCTTAAATTAGATTGTAGGATAGAGTTTACCTTGAGTAAAGAAGATTTATTAGAGCGCTGAGGAAGTAATTAAATGTCTGTTCAAGTAAAGTAACCTTGCAAATAGTCACGGAAGAAGTGAAAGGCACCCTCTGAAAGTAAAGCCATTAGAAAAGTTACGTGACTTGTGTTGACCTTCAAGGAAGAAATTAACCCTTGGATTTGTTCTATTTCAGACTTTAATATCTCAACAAATGTGTAATGCAATAACATGAACTTTGGCAAACCCATTCATGTTCCCCAGAGGATATATCATTCAACTTTTAGCTATGTTACGACTTTTCCTCTAGCGCCACCATGAGGTTCATTGTGGTCAAATGTTGACATTGGTTTGAATTTGATATTGGGGTTTGTTCAAACTTGAATATCTCAGCAAATCTGAATAAAATAACATCAAATTATCTCAGCAAATATTTGATGGAATAACATGAAAATTGGAGAAGACATTCATGTTCCCCGGCCCAGAGGATATACCTTTCAAATTTTAGCTATATAATGCCTTTTGCCACCATATCGCCACCATGAGGTTGATGGTGGTCAAATTAACTGTTTGAATATGATATTGGGGTTGGTTTAAACTTGAATATCTTAGCGAATATTTGATGGAATAACATGAAATTTGGCAAACCCATTCATGTTCCCCAGAGGATATATCCTTCTGATTTTAGTTATCTTATGACTTTCCCTCTAGCGCCACCATGAGGTTGATGGTGGTCAAATTAACTGTTTGAATATCATATTGGGGTTAGTTTAAAGTTGAATATCTCAACAAATATGTAATGAAATAACATGAAATTTGGCAAACCCATTCATGTTCCCCAGAGGATATATCCTTCTGATTTTAGCTATCTTTTGACTTTTCCTCTAGCGCCACCATGAGGTTGATGGTGGTCAGATTAACTGTTTGAATTTTATATTAGGGTTGGTTTGAACTTGAATATCTCAGTAAATATTTGATGGAATAATATTAAATTTGCCGAAGACATTCATGTTCCCCAGAAGATATATCCTTCAGATTATAGTTAATTTAGGACATTTCCTCTAGCGCCACCATGAGGTTCATAGTGGTTAGATTAACTGTTTGAATTTTATATGAGGGTTGGTTTAAACTTGAATATCTCAACAAATATGTAATGCAATAACATGAAATTTGGCAAACCCATTCATGTTCCCCAGAGGTTATATCCTTCAGATTTTAGCTACATTATGACATTTCCTCTAGCGCCACCATATTGGGGTTGGTTTAAACTTGAATATCTCAGTAAATATTTGATGCAATAACATGACATTAGGCAAAGACACTCACGTTCCCCAGAAGATATATCCTTCAGATTTTACTTATCTTAGGACATTGCCTCTAGCGCCACCATGAGGTTAATGTTGATGGAATAACACGACATTTGGCGAAGACATTCATGTTCCCGAAAGGATCATTTCTGCTGACTTTAGTGATCAAACTTTTTTCTAGCGCCTTTATTTGTCCAAAGCTTTTAGCGTTCATAGGAAACATAAAACCATGTTGACGGGACATCCTGAGCTTTTGTGATGTCCAAGAATGTGCTGAGGGGGTACAATCCTTTTCCCATGATGCAATAATTTGTTGTAATGATGCCCGGAGTGAGCCAGTCAGCTGTGGGCTGCACCTGAGCCCCGCTTTTTGTTTTCAAGCCTAAAGTTGTTAACATTACTTTGGGAATTTAAAGCACGAAGAGTCATTCTGCATTGCACGCTTGCACTTCCTGTTCCAGCCTTTTCTGCTGAAATGTATCCACAGGTCTGATTAACAACAACACATACATTATGTACGTTTATTCTGCCAATGCAAGTTGTCCATGCTCATAGAAAAACATGTTGTTAATACCAACACCAAGAAAAAACAGCAACTAGCAGCTAAATATCTGGATGTTTTTCTCACAAAGTGCAAACAAGAGCTTAAAACTGCAGGATAAATGAAGCTTTATGCAGAAACGGGCCGGTATTCAGAACAAAGGTTGAGTTGTTTGTACCGAAAAGTGAATACAAAACGAAGAGGAGCAGGGAAATGGTTTCCTTTCAGAGAAGAAATCTGATTAAAAAGGAGGCGAACGAGAGGAGGTGAGGAGGTGAAAATGAGCTTTCTCACTATAACAGAAGCCTGATTGTTTTCCAGGGAGAGGAAGAAGTGTTTCTCTAAAGTAAATGAGTGAGAGGTCCTCATTTGAATTTCAAATCTGAATCTTTTTGGGTGCAGAGACCCCCGCCTGTGTAACCACTTCACATCGGGCTCTAAAGTTGAACAAACCAAACCCCTCGCCTGGATGAAGCTTTTTATTCTCTGTAGTTTCACTCAAGTTTCAACTCTTTCAACTGATTTCTGTTAGAGGTACAGAACAGAAAACACACGAGGAGGGAAGATAAGAAGATAAATAACAGAAATGTGGAGGTAAAAATATATTTTCCTGCAAAGTAAACTAAAATAATTGGTTTATTTATGAAGGTGTATTAATGTGAGATTTCTCAAGACGTTTGAAATCTATCGAAAATGTATTTGCATTCATCATTTATTTTGTATTAATACTAACACATATCTGTTAATATTGTAATATACATGTTTATATATATAACAGGGTATATGCAGTAATCCTGAAGTCAAATGTAAGACCTTTTAAGACCTTTTTTAAGACCCTTTCCATACATTTTAAGACCTCATCGCCACTTGGAGTTCTAACCGGTTACCTTGGCGACACACTTTACCTCACATTCACTATATACAGTATTGATTGTCCTTCCTCCTTATCTTCCAACCATTTGGACGCAGACTTGCATTTCCCCATAACGATGTTGTTTAACAACCGGCGTAAACGGACCTTCGCGCGCTATCAAGCAGTGAGCGTGCGATGTCCTGTTCAGATGACGTCCAATCCAATGGGATGCCATAAATAAACTACACAGAATCACACTACACACCTACGCAATGATTACATTCAGGCAGACTGTAGAATACAACCTCTTTGGACAATTTATATACTTATTGGAAACAAGCTACAACATGTGATACCTTGGAAAATGCCCTTTAATACTTTTTAATAGCCTTACTTTTCGCTAAATTGATTTATCCACTTTTAATACTTTTTAAGACCCCGCGGACACCCTGTATAAGTACAATGTGCACATTTATTTTTGTATTTCTTATGTTTATATAAATGTTTAAAATATTGTAAATGGATATTTTAATTCATGTCTTTATTACAATTTTTTAAATCTTATTTGCACATTTAAATGTTAACTTATGTTTGTTTAAATATGTGTATTATTTTTTATTTAATATTTGTATATATATATATATATTTTACTTCTTACGTTTTAAAATGTTTTTATTAGATGTTACATTTGTATGACACACTTACTTTAAGTCCTCATTCTTGTGTAAATATCTTTATTTTAATTTTATGTTAAAGGTGGGGTATGTAATTCACTTCAGAAACACTTGTTATATTCCATGGAATGCTCTTAACATCCCGATAGCAATGAATATCTGAAGTGCTTTGACAATAAATCCATAAAAAAATATCATCTGTGGAAGACGTAGTACTGTAAAAAGCACGACCAATCATCTGAGCCGGCCCGGCTAAAATAACTGGATGGCCTACCTGCCTGTCAGCCTTCCATCTGTGCACAAACTTATCTCGTGCCCTCATTGGTCATGTGCGCGTTCGTGTGTGTTGGAGGAGGGGCTCTGGAAGGAAGTCTGAAGGAAGGGGCAGATTTGTTCCGGTTGTGTATTTTCATATTCTAGCGCACTCGAGCTGCTTTCTCCAAAATGACATACCCCACCTTTAACTTCTTTGCATATTTGTTCATATACCTTTTACCTAAATTATATTTAACCTTTTTTTGTATTTAATTCTACAACGGAGCGACTGTGACGGGTTGAAAAAGCTTTCTGATTTGATTCAAATATTCTCCGCAGAATAATAAACTTCTTATTTTAACGACCTTTTCTTTTTGCCCCAAACTTAAGACAACCTTTACTGTTTGGGCTCCACTACCAGAAACTCTCTGTAAATTATTAATATGTTATTTATTCTGTGCAAAATATTTATTCTCGCAGACAGGAGACATGAAAGGGGGGAACATGTCTTGAGGCTGTGTTGTCAGGAAAGTTTGTTTTTAATGAAACGAGGCGCACCATCCAGTTTGTTTTGTGTTTTCTCTAAGCAGGAAAAACCCTGCAGGCGACACTTTGAGTCTGTTTGAGTTTCTCCACACGGACCTCTGTGTGTCTCAAGCTGTCAATCAAAACACAGGAAGACGTCACTGCCTTCTGACAGCTGTCAATCATCACAGCAGCGTTAGTCATGCTGCTGGTTGGTAAGTAGTGCACAAAAGACACACTGGCAGTCGATGTGAAGCAGATACAACACTCACTGATGGAAGCAGGACTCAGATCCTAAGTGGTGCAGGAATGAGTCCAAAACACCAGGAAATTAGTAAGTATATTAGCATTTCCTGTCCATTGGTCTGGAAGTCAATGGTTTTCTGAATGTGTTTTTGGTTGTTAGCCCGAAATAAGGTCTGTGTTTAACACAAGCTGAAGAGATTATTGTTCTACGACATCAAATAGAGA